ACAAGGTATTCACTGCAGCATTATTTGCAATTGTAAAATACTGCAAACTACCTAAATGCCCAGGCATAGCAGACTGGTTCAATAAACTATACTACATATACTTGCTGGGATACTGTGCAGCTGTAAAAAAGAGTGAGGAATATTTCTATGTACTGATTTAGAGTGATTTCTAGTATACATTTCTAGGTTTAAAAAAAGGCAAAGTACAAAAGAGCATATACAGTATGTTATCTGTCATGTATGATAAAAGAGAAAATAAACATACATGTATCTCTTATCTTTATACAAACACATACAAAAGATAAACCTGAAAGCTGTTAAGCTGGTTACTTATGAGAGGAGTGGAGGTATATGAGAGAAAATGACACTTCTCTAAATATACGTTTTTGTATAGTTTTGACTTTTAGAAGCATTATAATGTTCTACATATTAAAAAATAAAATTAAATCATTAAGACGGGAAGGGCAAAAACACCAAAACAAATGAATCCATGAGTATTTCAAAAGATTTATACAAATGTGCTGAAAAAAAAAAAAGAAAAGAAAAAGAGAAGAAACAACAAATTCAAATAACTGAGTCAATATTCGACTATTCTGTGTGTGCAGATCTTTAAAAGACCTATTTTGGACTCATAGTTCTTTACATACTATACACACATAAAACAATAACAATAACTGACCCTGAAATATTATACTTAGCTCTTTATTATTCCATTTAAACTTCACAATAACTCTATGAGGTAGATACTCTTACTAACTCCATAGTACAGCTAAGGAACTGAGGCATTAGAGTTTAGTGACTCACCTGAGGTTGCATATCCAATGTAGAATGAGGGTTTAAACCCAGGGATTTTGATACTAGAGGTCATTCTCTTAACTACCATGAAGACTCCTAACTTCTTAGCCTGACATTTAAAATTGGTCTTGTGTATGCATTTCTCTTGGGAATACACTTAGGAGTGACTTGGTCATGGGATATGCATATGTTCAACTTTAGTAGACACTCCAAACAGTTTTCCAAAATGTGTGCACCAACTTACATTCCCACTCACAGTGTACAAAATTTTTGATTTTTCCACATCTGTACCAACGCTTGGTATTTGCTGATGTTTTAATCTTAGACTTTCTGGTGAGTAACTGCATCATACTCCTGATTGTATTTCCTTGATGAATATAAATTTTTCATATGTTCATGGCCATCTGTATCTCCTTTTTAATAAAGGGCCTGAGGCTTTGGACCTTTTATTTTTTTAAAATCTGCCTTTTTTCCTTTTGATTTATAAGAGTTCTTTACACAAAGCTCAGCTATGTGTACTGAAACATTTCCCACTCTGTGGCTTGCCTTTTCACACTCTTTATAGCGTCTTTCGGTAAATGAAAATTCTTTAATCAGGTCCAAGTTATCAAAATTTCCTTTGCATCTTATTTTTAAAATATTTTTCTTACTCTAGGGTGATGAAGATGTTCTCCCACGTTTTCTTCTAAAACATTTATTGTTTTGCTTTATACAGTCATTATCTGTAATCCACCTGAAACTTATTTCTGTGTATGGTGAGAGGTAGAGGTTAAGATCCACTATTTTTTCCATGTGAATTTCCAATTGATGAACTTCCACAATGGTTTAATAACAATTTTATTAAACAATAAAAATACAATCAATACCTAAATTCAAAGAAATCAGAAAAGGCAGACAATAAAAGGGGGGGGGGGCGCGGAGACAAAGTCATGAATGGACCCTGTATATAAAAGGATATAACAACAGAAATGTTAGGCAGCAGAAAAAGAAGCAGAATGGTATATTGGGGGGAAAATGCACTTGAAATTAGAAAATCTAGGTTTTGGTCTTGGCTCTGCTGCTAATTCAATGTGTGACTGCAGGTAAGTCAGTCATCTTTCAACGCTGTAGTTTCCTTAATCGACAAAAAGAGAAAAAAGAACAGACTGAATAGTAATCATTCTTATTGAAGAACTTAAGAGACAGAGTAGTAAGTATCTACATATGATTACGTAGATTTATACTGATATGTTTCTGGTGATATGATATTTGATATAATCCAAACTTTAGGATACATCCCTGACTCCTAAAGTTTGCTTTCCAACGATATCCATTTGACTTCTTTAATTCCTTTCTAAGTGAATGTTTACACAGACCTTCTTCTTAAAAACGCCCTAATGCATGAGAAAATATTGTTGAAAAACACAGTAGAGGGCTAAAAGTAGCACCATATTTAATGAAATATGATGATATTGATACTGGGTTGTAATCAACCACTTTGTATTATTAAACTCCATACAGTCATAGAAAACAATAACTTAAAAAATTATAGAAAATAAGACAATATTTAATAGAATACTCAGCTTTTTGCAACTTGGTGAGGATTTAATTTTGTAGGATTAAAAAACTAGGCAAATGAGTGATATAGAAAGAGATATTGCCAATTGTAGAAAAGTTTAGCTTAACAATTTAAAATAGTTTATTCTTTTTTTCATTTCTTCTTATGACATGTTTCATACTCTTTATGATATATATATATATATATATATTTAGCAAATGATTATAAAAACAAATACCTGTATGTTAACCATATAGATTTTTAAAAAGAGCATTTCCATTATCTGAAATTCCTGTTTGTTCCCTTGCCCCTCCTTATTCTATCCCATTATTCCTTCCTAGAGATGATCATTCTCCTAAATATCTTTAACATTTCTTTGCTTTTCTTCTGTTTACTACATGTATGCATGTATGTATCCCCAAACAATACACATTGTTTAATTTTGCTTGTTTTTTGGTATTTATTCAAATACTATAATACTGTATGTAATCTTCTGCAACTTGTTCTATGTGATATTTGCAAAATTTAATGTATATTATTGAAATGATCTCCTGGTTCCAAAAGTGGAATTGCAGGGTTTTAAAATATATATATACAGGCTCAAATTTACTAGATAATGTTGGATTGTTTTCAAAAGTAATTATATACAAAGTTACTGAAAGGTTTCCATTGCGCCACATCTTCACCAACTATTTTTTGGTGTGCTATAAACTTTTTAATGTCCTAAAACTGAAGTTAGTAAACTATAGCCCAATCTTGTCTGCATCCTCTTTTTGTACATCCTGAGAGCTAAGGTTGCTTTTAAATTTTTAAAGAGTTGTAAAGAAAACAAAACCAAAAAAGAACATGCAACAGAAACCAGAGGGACCCAGAAAGCCTAAAATATTTATTTTATGGCCTTTTAAAGGAAAAGTTTGCCAATTCTTGTTCTAAAACATTATCTTTACCAAAACCATGTTCCCCATCATTCCAGTTTTTTTTACAAACAGCTGCAAAAATGACTTTCATAACTTCCCAAGGTTCCCCAAAGGTTCAAAATGCTTGAATATTTAGGCTAAGTTTGTCTTTTAAAAGTCTAGATATTTACTAAGCAGAGAGTAAATTGGATCAGTTATACTACTTGACTGAGTATTAACTAAGAATGAAACAATAAAATCTTTCTTCTTTTATTCTTCTAACTTAAATCTATTCTTCTTTTTTATCATCTCTGACACACTCTCACCACTTCTATTTAACATTGTACTGGAAGTAACTAGCTATTTTAGTAAAGCAAGAAAAAGAAAACACATTCGAAATAAAGGAAATTGGATTGGAAATAAAGAAGTAAAATGGTCTCTATTCACAGATGACAGGATTATTTATACAGACAACCCAAAGAATATATATAACTATTAGAACTAATAAGGGAGGGCCGGCCTGTGGCTTACTCGGGAGAGTGTGGTGCTGATAACACCAAGGCCACGGGTTCGGATCCTATATAGGGATGGCAGTTAGCTCACTGGCTGAGTGTGGTGCTGACAACACCAAGCTAAGGGTTAAGATCCCCTTACCAGTCATCTTTAAAAAAAAAAAAAGAAAAAGAACTAATAAGGGAACTCAGCAAGGTCACAGGATAACAAATTAATATGGAAAAGTAAAAAAAAAACCAAAAAACAGTATTTTTTTTTTCCTGGCACAGTGTGGTCTGCACCACGCTCTGCCAGTGAGTGCACTGGCCATCCCTATATAGGATCTGAACCCACGGCCTCGGCGCTACCAGCGCCACACTCTCCCAAGTGAGCCACGGGGCCAGCCCCCCAAAATAGTATTTTTATACATTAGCATTAAACAATGAAATAGAAATTTTAATAAAATAGTATCAAAACAGCATAAAATACCTAGATATAAATTTAACATGAGACATGCAAGACCTCTAGAGAAAACACTATAAACGACTGTTCAGAGAAATTAAAGAAGATCTAAATAAAGGGAGAGATATACCATATTCATGAATTGGAAGAATTAATATTAAGATATCAGTTCTCCCCAAATTAATTAAAGATTCAACATAATCCTAGTCATAATCCTAACAGGCTCTTTTTTGTAGAAACTGATAAGCTGGTTCTGAATTTTATATGAAAATGCAAAGGAACTAGAATATTAAAAAAAGAAAGACAAAGTTGGAAGACCACACTACTTTACATTTAAGAGACACCATAAAGCTACATTAATCAAGACAGTAAGGTAATAGCATTGGATTGACAAATAGCTTGGTGGAACATGATAAGAAGCCCAGAAATATGCCTACAATTATATGGTTATTTGATTTTCAGACAAAGATGCCAAACCACTTCAATGGGAAAAGTCTTTTCAATAAATTATGCTGGAGTAACTGGATATCAGCACAGAAAAACACTGAGCTTATCCCACAAACATTATTCAAGTTGGATAATAGACCAAAATGTAAAAGTTAAAACCATAAAGCACTTATAACAAAACATGAGAGAATATTTTTATGACCTGGAGGTAAATAAAAGCTACTTAATAGGACACAGCAATAACTATGAAAGAAAAAAACCGATAAATTAGACTTCCTTAAAATTAAAACTTCTCCTCAAAATACACTGTTAAGAAAAGAAACAGGCAAGCCACAGACTGGAATAAAACATGATCATGTTTAAACTCTTACCTTGAACTCATCTGAGATTTCAGACACAAAAGAAGATATCTGTTTCATAAGCCTGTCCACACTGCTCTCGCTTCCTGTTTTGAGGAGTGTAGTAATGGCTAGGGTAGCAATGCTTCTGTTTGAGTCTGTGATCAAGTTTTCTAAGTCCAGATTGCAGGCAGTAACAGCAGAGGGGTGCTTCATTGCCACCTTGTGGAAGGGCAAGAAAAAAAAAATAAGTAAACTGCTACTGATAAAAAGCCAGAACTTATATTTTAATTTAGGTAATAAGGTAAGTGGCAATCAAAAGGAGACAGCACAGGTTTAAAGTAACTGTCTCAAGAAGAATGTTTCCAATTAATAAGGTATGATATATCATTCCAATTAATAAGGTATAGCAAGAAAAAAAATAAGTAAATTGCTATTGATAAAAAGCTAGAACTTATATTTTAATTAAGGTAAGTGGCAATCAAAAACATAGGTTAAAAGTAACTGTTTCAAGAAGAATGTTTCCAATTAATAAACTATGATATATCATTTGATAAATGATTAATTGCCACAGGATAGAATAGTATTCTCTTGTTAGGTTCTTATACCTTTATAACAGTATGACAGTTTATTTTTTATTACAATTGGCCTGTACTTCCTTACAGTACATGTGTCCATATATGTGTATTCTACTAGATGTTAGGATCTCTGAAAATAAGATCTAGTATTGGAAACACAGCTCAAAGATCGTTAATATCTTATTACTTAAAAATATTTCTGTACTTAAGCAAACTCCATCCAAACTGGATTACCCCTGGACACTAAAACATGTCTATCATTCTCCTGCTTCCTTGTTTTTGTTCACATTGTTCCACCTCTCTGTCTGTCTCAATATCGATACAGAATCCCTTTCTCACAATTCTGAAAATTTGAAAACACTCTGCAAAACAAAGCATTGGCATCAAAATTCATTTAGCAGCAAAATATGACTCAAACTAATGTAAAACTATATAAGTCTTAATTTATCCCAGTTAGTGAAGATAGTCTTGTTTTGTTCAGAAATGTTAATGGTGGGGTGCTGCTTCAAGCCCACTAACGTCAGTACATAATGTAAGAGATAGCATATTATCTTTCTAAAACTCACAAAAAACTGAATTCTGAGACACATCTAGCCCCAACATTACCAATGAAGGTATCTGGAACTATATCAACTCTTTATTCAAATTATTGTGTTATAAAGGCTTATTCCATTTCTCCTCTAAACTTCCCTTCTCCAATTAATCTATAATTGATCATGTATTGCCTTATGACAAGTCTTCTACTACATTAAATTTTTATTTAAAATTTTAATGGCTATTTAATTTATTCTGTGTTTCTGTACTGTATCCTCCAAACCTACACTGTCTAACATAGTAGCCAAGAGCCACATGTGACTACAAAGCATCTGAAAATGTGGCTAATCCAAATTGATAGGCTGTAAATATAAAACATATATTGGATGTTAAAAACTTAGTACAAAAAAAAGGCAAAACATTTCTAATAATTTTTATATTATTACATGTTAAAATGACTTTTTTATATATTAGGGTAAATAGAATATATTATTAAAATTAATTTCACCTTAAAAAATTTAAAATGTGGCTATTACAAAATTTGAAATTACATATGTGACTCACATTGGGTTTCTACTGGACAGTGCTGCTGTAGACTAGCACTGTGCAAGAGAACTTTCTTCAACATTCAATTTCTGCACTGTCCAATATGATAGCCATTTACCACATGTGGCCATGAACATGAGAAGTGTGACTAGTGTGACTGAGGAACTGAATTTTTTTTTTTTTTTTTTTTGTCTCTTTTTTTGTGTCCGGCAACGGATCGCAACCCTCAGTGTCGCGCCTGTACCGGACCGGGACCAGCAACGGGATCGCAACCGTCGGTGCTGCTCCCACACCTCGCTCAGCCAGTGAGCGGGAACCGGTCTGCATGTGGGATCCGAACCCTCGGCGGGAGCGCCACTGCACTCCCAAGCGGCGCACTGTAGCAGTGCGCCACCGGGCCGGCCCAGGAACTGAATTTTTAATTTTATCTAGTTTTAATTAAATCAAAATAGCCACTTGTGGCTAATAGCCACCATATTTGACAGTGTGGCTCTTGAACATAAAGTGCTTAGAAATCAGAAATGAGTTATAATCTTTAGCTGAATGAAAGTAAAAATGGCATATATAAAGCCACAAATAGAAGTGATATGTTATAGAAGTGAAGCCCATAAACCATATATGCCAACCTTGGGGAGAAAGCCAAATGCTTCACATTTAATATTTCTCAATCAAACAATAGCTAAACAAAGGAACACCTACCTTGTTCAAGGTCCTCACAGCTGCATATCTCAAGGCTGGCTTAGGAGAGCTACAGAAAAGCTGAAGAACTAAAAAAAAATTACTATGAATATTGCTCCTTTCATCTTACACCATAAAGCAGAAAATACAGTACATAATTAAATATATTCAAAAAATGCTTAAGGAAATTACATTGCAGCATCAAAAATTCACATGAAAATTGAATCATCAAAAAAAAGCACTTTTTGTTCAGCTATAAAAACTTTAATAGGAAACAAAGTTTGCTCCTTTTTCTAAAAGAATTAGTACACCCATTAATATGTGAATTTAAATGGTAGAAATATTGATAGTTATAAGAGCAAATAGGCTTTATGAACCTTACAGAAAACTGAAAACATTAAAGTTATTTGTCTTCTAAGTAAAACTTTTTTCAAAAGTTTTATATGGGGAAATAGGAACTTCAAAAAAAGAATAAAGGACAGAACAACTAAAATAAATTATTCACATATAAGCTATCAGAATGCAAAGGCTATAATATATACAGAGCTAAGGTTCAAAAATCATTATTAATAACTATTCTGCAGACCTATGGAACTTAAAAACAAAAACATAAAAACATAAACAAAAGCCAGCTATTAAATATACAACTAACCTGAAACAGCAGGTGCCAACTCTCTTGCAGTACAGTTAGGAAGATGGATAATAGCTGAAGCAGCTTCATAAATAACCATTTCATGTTTATTTCGCAAGCAGCTCTCAATGAAATCAAAGAGTGGACTTTCATGACTGCCAATAAATATAGATAGTCCATTATTTATATATCAAAAAGAGAGGCAATATGCATAGTGGTTAAGAGCACTGATAGATCAAGAAACACTTTCGGAATGGTGGATGAAGGACCTCTGGAAATTGACTTCTCCAAAAGCAGTGAGAACATTGGCAAAAACTGTCAATATTAACCAAAGACTTACAACAATCCTACGAGCATTTATTTTAGAATCATGGTAAGAACAGTGAGCTTTTTTTGGTGTTTTAACTTGCCCTATTCCCAATTTCCATGCCTTCCTTTCCACTTTCACAGTAGCTTTGGAAACCAGAAGTCTCAGAACCATAGTAGCTGTAAAAACCAGCAGTATAGCAGCCACTGGAGCAGGCAAAAGCCTTATCCCTAGAAAACTGTCACTATTTGACTTGTCTGGTACTCTCTAGAAAGGTACAATTCATAAGCTTTTATTTCACCTGACTCAGAGCTCATTCAGTAAGGAAGGCCCTATCCTCAGGGAATTTGTCCAGAAAAAATCCAGTGGCAACTGGTTAATACTGCAGCTGCCAGAGCCAGCAGTTCCAGCTGGGGCAAACAGGAGGCTGGCAACAAAACAAAACAAAGCAAAACAAAAACTTAAAAGAAAAATCTGAAGAGTAAGATGTCCATAGGAGGCTTTGAAAACCTCTGATATATTTCTGGAGAACTTGAAGGTCATATGCATGTGAAGGGCTGACCAAATTCCCCAGAAAAAAACCTAACGGAGACCCAATCTCTCACCTATGCTTGACTTAGAGGCTCCGTACAAGTAGGAAGTGAAGGCTAAGGCAGAGTTCTAAGCTGCTGGTGAATGGACACCCCAACATACATAGCACCTCTTGGAAAACAGTGAGAGACATGTTGGTTTAAAGGATTTCAGAAAATCTCTGTAAAACCATTACCTGACAACTCAGCTAATCAAACAGAGACTTCAGTGGCTGTACATGCTAAAGAATAAAGACTACAGAATTAGTTCAGGAAAGTTGCTTAACAAACAATAATCACAATAATAAATAGCAATAACAAACCCTGGTGATGAGGGAGGGGGTATCTGATTACTAGAACTGCCACATTACGTTATTTAAAATATCATGTTTTTAACAAAAAAATTATGAGACATGCAAAGAAATAGTGAAGGATGGTTCACATATAAGAAAAAAGGCAGTCAATAAAAATTATCCCTGAGGAAGCCCAGATGTTGGACTTACTAGGCAAAAACCTTTAAGTCAGTTAATACAAGTATGTTCAAAGAACTAAAGGAAACCATGTCTAAAGAATTAAAGAGAAGTATAATAATGTCATTTTACCAAAGAGAAAATATCAGTGAAGACACAGAAATGATTTTTTTTTTAAAGCAACCAAACAGAAATTCTGTATTTGAAAAGTACAATGAGTGAAATGGAAAATTCACCAAAGGGGTTAAAGAGTAGATTTGCACTGGCAGATAAAAGAACTAGCAAGCTTAAAGATAAACCAACTGAGGAAATTTTTTTCAAAAAAAGAACGAAGTAAAATGAAAAGAGCTTTGGAGACCTGTGTAACATGACCAAGTGTACCAACACTTGCATAATAGGAGTTCTAAAAGGAATGGAGAGGGACAAAAGGCAAAAGAAATATCTGAAGAAATGATGGCTGAAAACCTCCTAAATTTGATGGAAAACATTAATCTATATACTGAAGAGGCTCAATAAATCTAAAGCAGGATAAATACAAAAAGATCCACCATAGATACACTATAGTTAAATTGCTGAAAACATATGACAAAGAGAAATCCTTGACAACAGCAAGATAAAAACCACTCACCGCACTGTACAGGGGTAAATCAATACAATTAATAGCTAATGTCTCACCTGAGATAATGAAAGACAGCAGGAGTAAAATGCCATATTCAACATACTAAAATAAAAAGACAAAACTTCTATATCCAGCAAAACTATCCTCCAAAAAGTGAAGACTAAAAGAGACATTCTCAGATAAGCAAAGACTGACAGAATTCATTGCTAACAAACTTGCTTTACCAAAAAAACTAAAAAGAAAAAAAAAATTTTTTTTTTTAAATTTCAGTCTAATACTTTAGAATGAAAGATAGACTCCAGACAGTGACATGAATAACAAGGGAGAAATAAAGAGCATTAGAAGTGGCTAATCAATGACTGGATATAAGATTCTACAGATATATATTTCCACTTATTTTCTTTATTTAGAGGACATAAATTGTATAAAGCAATAATTGCAACACTATATTGTTGGATTTATAAAACATACACAGGTAATATAAATGACCATAACAGCAAACAGAAGGGAGGAGGGAATGGAACTATACTGAAGCAAAGATTCATTTATATTTTACTAAAATTAAATTAGTACTAATCTTAAGTAGTTTGTGGTAAATTAAGATGCATATTATAATCCCTAGAACAATAACTAAAAAAAAGAAAACTTAAAAAAAAATTTTTTAAATATTGACAGAGGAGTTAAAAAGATACACTAGAAATAAAAGAAAAGAAAGCAATCAAAGAGGAAGAGATGAACAAAAAAAGAGAGACTTATGAAGAACAAACAGGAAAATGGCAAAGGTAAATCTAACAATATCAATAACTATATTAAATGTGAATGGTCTAAACCACCCAACCAAAAGATAGAGATTGTCAGGCAGGATTAAAAAATCAAGATCCAACTATGTGCTGTCTACAGGGGACCCATTTTAGATTCAAAGACACAAAAAGTCCAAAGATGGGAAGAGATATACCATAAAAATAGTAACCATAACAAATCAAGAATGGCTATACTAATTTTGGACAAAACAAACTTTAGGACAAAAATGTTACAAGACAAAGAGAGACATTTCATAATAATAAAGAGGTCAATATGTCAGGAAGATATGACAATATTAACAAATGCACACTTAACAAGAGAGACTTAAAATGCATGAAGCAAAACCTGACAAAGTAATAGATCATTTAATAATAATAGTTGGAGATATCTATACCCACCAATAACTGATAGAACAGCTGGACAGAAAATCATCAAGGATATAGAAGACTCGAACAACACAATCAACCAATTCAAAACCATCCAACCCAATGACATTAAAACACACATTCTTCTCAAGTGCACATGGGCCATTTCAAGACAAAATAAATGTCAGGTCATAGAACAAGTCTCAACACATTTAAAAGAACAGAAATAATACAAAGCACTTTTCCAACCACAAATGAATTAAATTATAAATCAACAACAGAAAACAAATGAGGGAAATCCTCCAATTTTGTCACTTAAACAACATATTTCTAAATAACCCATGGACCAAGAAGAAATCAAATGGGAAATGAGAAAATATTTGAAACTGAAATGAAAACACGACAAATCAAAATTTATGGGATTCAGCTAAAGCAATGCTTAGCAAGAAACATGTAACTTAAAATTGGAAAACAAAAAAAGGCCTCAAATCAATAATGTAAGCTTCCACATTAAAAAATTACAAAAAGAAGGACTGGCTGGTTAGCTCAATTGGTTAGAGCATGGTGTTACAACAACAAGGTCAAGGGTCTGGATCCCCATGCTGGCCACCTGCAAAAAAAAAAAAAAGAAAGAAAGAAAAAGAGGAGTAAACTAAGCCTACACCAAGCAGAATAAACAAAATAATAAAGATTAGAGCACAGTTAATGGACTAAAATTAAAAAAAAAGAAAAAAAGTCAATGAAACCCAAAGTTGGTTCTTTGAAAAGATAACAAAATTGACAAACCTTCTGCTAAACTAACCAAGAAAAAGAGAAAAGACACACATTACCAAAATCAGCAATAAAAGAGGGGATGTTACTAGTGACCCTAAAAAAATTAAAAGGATTCTGAGGGAATATTATGAACAACTATATGGCAACAAATTAGAAAACTTAAGATAAAATGGACAAATACCTAGAAATACCAAACTACTAGAAGTGACTCAAGAAGAAGTAGAGAACCTAAATAACTTTTAATGAGTCCGTTATTAAAAATTATCCCTTTAAGAAAAGCACAGATCCAGATGGCTTGACTGGTTAATTCTATCAAATATAAAGAAAATTACGAATCCTTCACAAACTCTTTCAGAAAATAAATGAGAAGGGAACACTTACTACCCAACTAATTCTGTCTTGCCAGTATTACTCAGATAGCGAAAACATGACAAACGTTTCACAGGACAAGAAAACTATAGAACAATATCCCTTCTAATAAACACACAAAAATCCTTAACAGAATATCAGAAAACTGACTCCAGTAACATATAAAAAGAATTATATATTGTAACTAAGTGAATTAAATAGCATTAAGAAATGCAAAGTTGGGGGCCGGCCCTGTGGCGCACTGGAGAGTGTGCCGCTTGGGAGCGTGGCGGTGCTCCCGCCGAGGGTTCAGATCCCATGTGGAGACCGGTTCCCGCTCACTGGCTGAGCGTGGTGTGGGCACAACACCGAGGGTTGCGTTCCCGTTACCAGTCTGTAAAAAAGACAAAAAGGAAAAAAAAAAAAAAACGAAATGCATAGTTGGTTTAACATCAGAAAATCAATTCATGTTATACAGCACATTAATAATGTAAAGGATGAAAACCACAGAATCATCTAAGATGCAGAAAAAGGAATTGACAAAAGCTAACACCCATTCGTGATATTAAACAAACAAAAAACCCACAAAAACAAACTAGAAATAGAAAAGTATGTCCTTAACCAGATAAAGGGCATCTTCAGAAACTCCACATCTAACATCATGTTTAATGATTTCCCTTTAAGATGAGGGAAGAGGCAAGGAAGTTTGCTTTCATCACTTCTACTCAATATTGTACTGAAGATTCAAGCCAGTATGATAAGGCACAAAAAGAAATTAAAGGCATCCAATTTGGAAAGTAAAAAGTAAAAATGTCTTTGTTCACAGATGACATGATCCTGTACATAGAAAATCCCAAGGAATACACATACACACAGACACAGAGAACTAATCAATAATCCAT